ATTTTTACATATTTGCTAGATGTAACGAACTTTGCCTTTTCTGTATGTTCCAGAAGAGGAATCATCATCAGAATGTTCCTTTGAATTCAACGATATAACCTCCTCATCAATACAACTGTTATCTAAAGACACAGCCCAAGATAAATTTGCAAAAAAAGGAAGAGAATTTTTCAAAATTATGTATTCCATCTATATTGATAGTTGTATTATGAAACAAACATAGAAGTACCTTTATGCACTGACTTACTGATTGGGCAGATGAAAAGCAGAGTATCACAAAGACTCATCCTGGACTATTTGAACAAAGTTTTAGGAAACATGATTCAAATCTTTTTTACCAAAGCAGTGAGAGAAGACTCTTCCTTTTTACAATTTGTATATGGCTATCTTAAGAAAACTTGAAGAGGGGTTGAGGTAGTCCTTAATCTCCCTGGGAAATAGATTCATAGATGTTTGGGTTGGAAGGGACCTCAGTAGATCATTGAGTCTAAACCCCCTAAACCTGGGCAGGAAAGAGCGCTGGGGTCAGTAAGGGCATCGTCTCATTTAGTGTAAACACTTTACTGAATACTCTTCATCATCTGCCAATATAGATAGGTGAGTTTCTAGTCACCATTCTCTGTGTGTGTTCATGTATTTGGCACACAAAACACAGAAACAGTTAACCATTGTCATAAACTGCTCTAAAAGACATGGCTTCACGAAATTAAAGCTCAGTTAGAATCTAAGACTTTTCACGCACTATTTTCCATTGCAGAGATAACATCAACCGTCCACCCAACCACTCTTATACTTTCAACTTTTCAAAGCAGAAGTGCTCACATCATGGCCTTGTCAGATTCTAATGAATCTGCAAATTCTACTAACCACCTGTCATCAACCGTCTCAGACAGGACATGAGAAGAAGAAGAAAACTTTCATAAAGAAGTCCTGCCCAGGAGTCCCTGTGTCTTGTTTTATGCCTGCTTTGGCATTAGATGATACTGTAGAAAACTTGCAGGTCAATATGTTGACTGTGGGGGATGAACTGCCAGCAGGTCCCCAGGCAGTACCATATTCTGGTAAGGAACTTGGGAAGCCAAGATGAGTGTGAATAATTGCAAAGGGCCACAGATATGTGTAGAGGATTGCTTTAACCATTAGATAATACTGCTTTAAAAATCCCAGCATGAGGATGGCAGACTGCAAGGATTTGTACATGTGCGTAGGTTTGTTTAATTGCATTACTGCCACTTGGGATTTGTTTCAAATGAATGAACAGGGCAGTCAGCAGGATTTAATCATTTTTTGATCCCTGGGGCTGGCCCCCAAATAGCACAATAGAAGGAAAAGCACTGCACAGGCTGTTTTGAGTTTGAATATATTTATTTCTTTAGATGCCTGGTTTATTTTGCTTTCAGTTGTGTAGCTGATTTTACAATGCACCAAACACGTCTCTGGTCTTCATTTCAGCAAAGCACAGTGCATTTATTCTTCTTCATGAACCTGAAAATGCAATGTGTGAGAGATGTTATGATACAGTGCAGGTAATTTTGATTTATGCTAGGGAATCCTACTGACATTTTCATCTTTTAATATGAAACAAACTGTCTATTCTCTGCTGCTTTGTTGCATTACTAAATTCCTACTGGACACAAATCATCAATAAAACCTGCATCACTCAATGGAGTTAAATTGATTTGTGTCAACTGTTCCCTGTCCTGGCAGTTGTTTATATGTTATTAACAGCTTATAAATTTCATACAGTACTGCTGTGGACTACAACATTGTTTGCTTTGCTGCTGTGTATACAGGGTATAATATGATTCATTCTGTTTAACTGAAATTGGTCTGTTTCCACTAATGTCTCTATGAGCTTCTGCATAGGTCTGCACCATGTCCCTGGATAGCCAGGAAGAGACACTTGTGAATGTGCCCCAATCCACACACAGCGAGAACATCCTGCACTTGGATGCTCTGTGTGCCACAGGCCAAGGTCTCAAGAGCAGCTATGGGGAGGGAAAGGATGCTTTTGTGTGGGATGGGAGGTGAAAGGGGACGTGATATGATAACTCTGCCACAATATTTGGGCTCAACTCATGCAAACATCCCTTCCTAGGCATGCCAGGAATGCAGTGTAGACAGATCCTGCATTCCTCTGTCATCTCAGATTGCCACTCTAATTAAAGTGCCTGGAGCATCACAGGGATCAGTGTTTCCGCATTGAAAAATGGCAGTGGGGCACTTTAACTAAAGCTCATTAAACAAGCTTTAGTTAAAGCACCCCCACCGCCACTTTTCAGCATGGGGATACTGATACACATGACGCTGGAGTCTGCTGGAGCTCAGTAATTACCACACTCCAGCAGACTCGATTAATCAAGTCTGCTCCATGTGCTGTAATTACAGTGCGTTGGAGCAGCCTTGCTGCATGTGTATACGTACCCATAGTGACTAACTTGCCACAGAGGTCATTTAGTCCATGTTCATAGCAAGTTGGTAGTGGACATTTATGTGGATAACATCATCCAGAGTTACAATGGGATATAAGGTATCAGGATTTAAAACAACCCCTGAACATGAAGGATGACTCCTATCTAGGGGTGTTCTAGATCATTCTTGTATATCTGATACTGTCCTGGCTGGGGGCTGGACAAGATGGACCTTTGGTCTGATCCAGTTTGACAGTGCTTACATTTGAAAATCTCAGCTGTGCCCCCACCCTTTTATTTTATATTTTATTTTATTTTTGAACACCCACAGTTGTTTCTTCCCTGAGATTTTACAAACATGCCTCAGGGAGTCTATCCTCCTCCTGTCTTCCTTCTCATTTTCTAACAATTCTTTCCTCTTCCCTTGTCCTCTGTCAGCAAGGTGAAAACCAAACTGCTTACCTTCCCTCTCCTGAGTCTCCATCACTGCTAAAAACTGACAGTACTACCATCTTCCCTGGGACTCAGGCCCACCCTCTGCCCTGCTCCAAACATCCAAGTCACATCTAAATCTACCACTGTCCCCCCCTCAACACTGCCAATGGTTGTCCTTTTCTTTCCTTCTTTCAGACGCAACACTCACGTAGGCCCTTAACTCTTGCACCCTCCTCCTCTCTGGTCTCCCATTAACCTGTGTTACAAGCAGGTTTCAAGCAACCAGCTTCTTCACAAACCAGTCACTTCACACCCTCCTCTTTGGAAAGCCTTCCAGAAGCCCTCTGCTTCCTCTCACTTCAGCTCAAGGATAGTGGCTTCCAGAAGCTCAGTCAACCTGAACCTCCCAACTTAATCTGATCCACTCTTGCTGCACGTAGCCCTCCACTGATTTCTGCTCTGCTGGTGTTCTCACCCCCATGAACTGATTGTCAGCTTCTCACATAAGCATGCACCCCTATATTACTTCTCTGGATGGCACAGACTCACTATGCTTGTTAATGTGCTTACCCTCTGTAGCCCCTTTACCCACTCAGTGTTTAAGCCCTTTGAGTCACAGCTGCTGTGCCTTTAGAGCAAACCTAGCTGACAAGAAAAAACAGGCATCCTGTTCTCCTTAACCTCCATCTCTTTGTGCATAGAATGAAGGCACTTATCTCAGATTAGTTGCGGGGTCCTATAGATACCAAGCAATTACACTCAACTAAATGTATCGTTTAATCCAGTAACACATGAATAGTGTAAATCAGTGGTTCCCAAACCGTGGGTTGCAACCCAAAATGGGGTCACAACAGCAATGGATGGGGTCATGGTGCAGCATTCTCCCCCACACCAGTCCCCACCTGCTGGGCTGCAGAGGCCGGGGGGAATGGCAGCAGGGTGGGTAGCCCCAAACCCGCAGTGAGCAGCCCGCATCCTCCCCACTGCCACATGCTATGCTGTGGCCATGCCAGCCACAGTGGAGGGGACAGTGGGGCGGGGAAGCCAGGCTCTGAGGTCCGGCCTTGTCAGTGGCAGTCAGGCCTTAGGCATTGCTGGGTTGGGGGGGCAGGGGGCTGTGGGCCTTGGCCCTAGGGAGAATGGGGGGCTGTGGATTGGGAGTGAGGGACACCAACAGGGCCAGTGGTTGTGGGGGGCTGCGAGTTGGGAGTGAGGGGTCATGCTGAGGAAATGGGGTCAGAAATGGGGTCATGCTAAGGAGAAGTTTGGAAAGCACTGGTATAAATGATATTGCTCTAGAAACTTAATTGAAATAAAAGATAATTCTTGTGAATTAATCTGTGTGACAGTTTTACTTTGTGTCTCTGCTGAATTCTCATGGGAAATATGTGGCCACAGAATGGACAACATAGGGGAAAGGAAAGGGCAAGAAGATTAAGTGCCCCTTTAAACTTCTTCTCATTCTGGCTAGAACAGAACAGTTTCTTTTTGCCACTGACTCTGGGGCTGCTTATCCAGAACATATCCCCTAAAACCTAGAGCCTGTTTAGATAATATTTTCACATCAGATGGAGAAGAAAATGAAGATGATTCCAGCTCCTGCTTTCAGTAATCCATGTAGGTGTAAGAATGGATCTATCACCCAGTTGCCATTAGGGAAAATCAAAGATAATCAGGAGCTTTTCAAGCTGTTTCATTTTTCTTCAACCCCAGGTAGAAATCCACATAATAACAGAAATGAGATGGTGCTTTTAAAATAGCCACTCTCAGAAATGAGTTTTCTACCTAAATGTGTTGGGGAAAAGCTTCTCTGGCTTGCAGCTGCTTAACTATCTAGGACTGTGTTGGTGTATGTTAGGAACACATTGCTTTGATGTCTCATAAGCTGTAGTTTTAATTTCAAAACCTTTGCTTTAACGGAAACAAAATAAGACAAATATTGAACAAATAATAGATCCAAATATGTGGATCTAAAATATAGGATGGACTTATTTCCCCCACCTTATGTGTGTACATATATACAAGCCAGTGGGAATTACAGACTCATTCATGTTGCAGAAAAATGCCATACCTTTTTAATGCCAATATCTCTTGTCTTGGTCCTCAGTTTATTAACCTGGGATTCAGCTATTTCAGCCCTTTCTTCAGCATCATCCAGTTCATGTTGCTGTTTCCTGTATTTTCCCAGGTACATATTGGCTTGTGCTTCCTATTGAAAAAAAGCATGAGAGGAGTTTCCCCCCTCTAAGTCTGAAAGTACTGTCTTCAATTCCAACATCAGCAGCAAATGTGACTAAGCATAAATGTATAGGGCACATAAACACACTTTGAAAAGTTAGTTTCACACTGTAAGGGTTTTGGTGTCCCAATAGTATTAACCAGTGCAAGTGGAGGGAATCTCTCCGGTTACCATATCCTTTCAAATAGGGAGAAAAATAAAGGGGAACCACCTTACAGGCATTTTTCAGGTATCACAGAATCCAAGCTGCTGTACATGACATTCTGAATAATTCAAATCTCTTGAGGAAAGCAACGACAGCCCCTGAAAATCTATTTACACTATAGGATATAAAAGCCCCAAGTACTGTTTAAACACTGAGCCCTAGGGAGTGTACAGTATAAATCAGAATGAGGCAGCTCTTCAAGAAAGCAAAATTCTCTCAGTAAAGCTGATGAATAAGGTTTGAATACGTCTCGATAAGACTGAAAAAAAGAAATGCCATGTAACGTCTACACCTATCACTTACAGCTTCCTCAGCTTGGTGCTTGTAGCTTTTCACTTTTAATTGCAGTTTATCAATTAGATCCTGCATCCTGGCCAGGTTCTTCTTGTCTTCCTCTGACTAGAGCAAACAAACAGAAAAAAAATCTTAATATACAGGCCCAAGGGCTGGGGACATTCCAAAGTGAACCTGTTATGGGTAATATTCATATGACACTGGAAATAAAAATCTTTGAAATGAAAAAGAGTTCAGATAGGATCACTCTGTTAGCAGATGAGAAAAATTTCCCTGGGCTGTTTTGAATAACAGTGAAAGTGACACAGCAAATGGAAGAGAATATATATGTATTTATGAAGTATCATGACTAAATGCTCCAGCTCCCGCAAAAGGATGATGCAGAGATGATAAAATGTAGGTCTCCTGTACTCTGTGAAAGTAGTACTGCGCTACCAGAGCTCACAGAATCTTATCAGCCCATGACAAGGACAAAAGTAAGTCTAATATCCTTTTATTCCTCTTTGCAGAGTCAGAGCAGAGGGAGACAGCTGGAGTTTTTTTCTTCTCCTACAGCAACAGAAATGCTATCCGAGGCTCCTCCTCTGCAGATTTAATCTGGCATTTTAACAATGCCAGATTCTTGACTATGCCAACCCTCCTACAAAAGCTAACGATGGCTTATGTGAACTGATTGTAACATGGGAAAGAAGGGGTTTTCTACAGCTTCCCTAACACATGCAACTGCTGTCTGATAAAGAACACATTTCATCCCAGGGACTGGCTGTTTCATGTAATATCCAGAGTGAATGGGTTTTGCAAGAGTACCTGATAAGTCAGCTCTTTTATGCGTCTTTCAAACTTGCGGACACCTTTCTGAGCATCTGAATTGCGACGGAGTTCATTCTCGAGTTCATTTTCCAGCTCACGAACCTGCAAGAAAAGAAACCTTATGATTCCACAGGATTCAAGCAGCAAGACACGTACTGTAATGTGGAGTGTGCCCAACACACCAGATGCTGACCAAACATACAAAACAAGCTACATAGTTTATAACCTAAGAAAGGATTGTAGAGGATTTGATCATTTTAGAACACATAAGTTACTTTGAACATGGCGCTCATCATATTCATATACACAGAGTTACCTAAAACCACCACACTGCCATGCCAAACAAGATGAAAAGGGAGAAAGACTGTCCATATTTGGTCTGGATGTAACTTGTCATATGGCCAACTCACATAACTCATTATTTGATCCCTAAATGGTCTCTTTGAAGATCATAAGTAGATGCAGAGGCTACCTGCAAAGGCCACCCAGAGCAACCATTTTGCACAAGTCCTGTAAAGACTCTGAAAGGGGGACAGTGTGGTCCTTGGTTCAGGATGGAAAACTTACCCTGGATTCCAGTTTCTGGATCTGCTTCTTGCCACCTTTCAGGGCTATTTGTTCTGCCTCATCCAGTCTCTTCTGTAGGTCTTTAATAGTCTGCTCCATGTTCTTTTTCATTCGTTCCAAGTGAGCGCTAGTATCCTGCTCTTTTTTAAGCTCCTCAGCCATCATTGCTGCCTAAAGTAAAACAATACATCACACTGAAGAGTGTAAGACTGGAATAATTTCCTAAGAGAAGCAGTGAAAGCCCCATTGCTCAAGTCATTTAGTACAAGGCTGGACAATGTACTTGAGGACTTTCTATAAACCCTGCATTGCTGAAGGGGAAGGGATACCTTTTTCCACCTGTCTTCTACTGTCATGATCTAACATCTGCTTTCTTACTTTAATGCCTGCATGGGATTGGCATATCAGGCCATGGAGGTTGATTATGAAAGTTGCTGCATTAACAAACTTGACAAGGCTGAAATTGTCCATGCATCCTTTGTACAAGCAGAGTCTGAGCAGCAGTAACAGGGAAGATTGCCAGTCTGTGTCAACAATAGACTTCACCTCCAGCTAAGAGGGATCTGGGACCAGGAGTTCAGTGTCTCCATGTTGTCTTCAGTCTGGGGACATTTTGTTGATTTTTTAACAAGGAGGCCATTTCTGACCTGAGGTGTGCCCATATCATCCAAACCAAGCTACATGTCTAGTGCAGGTAACTCAACAACCATCAGAAGGTAAAAATGTTTAGTCATTACCAGATTGGGCTGGAGTTGAACTGGTGACAATGACTGGTCTCTCTAGACCTGGAGAAGATCACCCTTATGGCTTGTGAGAAACAACAATGGTTAAGGCTTAAAGGGGAATGCTGCTCCTTATAACTGAGTCTTTCTTTTTTTTGCTCTTTGATCTACATGCCGGACAGAAAGGTAGTTGAGGGACCAAATGTCTCATCATGTCCAGACAAAGATCCAGTTGCCTCAGAGATGATGCGACCCAAAACAGATCTCAAGGATCAGTGAGGGCATGCTCCATCTTGGGGAAAAGAAACCAGCCAGGGAGCACTTTTCTCTCTCTCCTTCCCTTCAACCTCTTTTCACCAGACTGCATCGATTGCTTTTAGACAGTGGTGGAGTTCATTTAAAAATCAGAGGTTTTTTTTACAGTGACAGAAGTGGCCATTTAGGTCTGCCTAAGTTAGTCCTCAAAAGATAGTGCTGTGTATGCCTGAGAAAAGGGAACAAGGAGTTTATTTACATCAGTGATTGCTTTCTTGGCTTTTTCTTCAGCATTCCTGCACTCCTGTATTGCCTCCTCTACTTCATTCTGCATCTGACTGATGTCTGCCTCCAGCTTCTTCTTCTGACCAATTAAGCTTGTGTTCTTTAAAAAAGAAAAAAAAGAGAGATACGAATTGGGGGGGGAGGAAGGGGGTAGAAGGGAGACAGATTATGAGGGGCATTGATTAATTAAATCCTATCCAAACCTATGTCCAAGGATCATCAGTGGATTACAGCTAAGAGCTGGAAGAGACTATCTGTTATAGACGACACATGCCTTGTAGAAGGCACATAGCTGTAAATATTGGTACTTAGCAATAAAAAGAAGACTGAAACAATAAACAAATGAATTTTGTTCATCAGTGGTGAACTACAGGCCAATAATTAGTTATTCTAAAAGACAATTAAAACTAAAATCCAGTATTATGGATGCAGCTCAGGAGCCAACACAGTATATGTTAACTGTGCAAATGTTGCTAGTGCATGAAGAGCTTTCATAGAATCCCAGCAATGAACTATTTTGTGATTAGTTCATTTGGGATTGGAAAGATAACCCTTGTGTACAAGGCCGTGCTCTCCAGAACCTTGCTATGGGAATGCAGCTGAATATATACTGAGCAACTCATTTCCTTCCTTAACCTTTGGGGAATTAATGAAACAGTCCTGAGATCTGATCAGTGATGACTATAGAGTTTATGGTCTTTTTGCAATTGCAAACTTTCAGTCTTCCCTGATAACCACCACTGCCCACTGCTGCTCACTTATTATGCCTGATGCATGTCACCTAGTGCAGGAGAAGGCCCAGTGAAATCCAACCTGTGTATGCAAAAGGTTCACACGCTCAGTGGCTTCAAGTAACTCTTGCTCTGCCAGTTTACGCCCACGCTCAGTCTGGTCTAGCAAAGCCCTCAGCTCATCAAGCTCTGCCTGCAGAAGGTTGTTTCTCCTGTCAGCCACTGCTAGCTGCTCCTTCAGGTCTTCATTCAGATGACTGGAATCATCAAGCTGCACCTGCAATTCCTGTAAAAAACAGCAGTATTTACCACCCATCAAAATGATACCATTTGCTTTCAAGCCCTTCCTGAAAAATGCAAAAACACCAGAACATTTGGCAGGAGAGTTTGGTGTGAGACCTCATTAGCTAAATCTGGACATACTCCAGGGACTCTGACTGGTTTAACTCCCCATTGGGTAGTTACCTGTCAAAAGGCAGGTTGAAGAGAGTGACAATTGTGAGTTCCTTGCATGACTCCTTGTGAGGGGCCCTCTGTCCCTCTGGTGGAATCCAATTCAACTTTTGTTGTCAAAATGGCACAGGCTAAAACACAGTAGCTGAGGACTGGTTATACTCCGTGCAGTGCTCTTGCATTGCACATGGCCTTTTTGGAGCAAATTCTCTGTTTGAAATCATTATTACAGCTGTACTAACAAAAGCTCCCTCTCCCTGTGTGCTTGGGGTGACTACACTTGCTGTGTCTTAACAAAACCCAGCCCTTGCTTGCTGTTGGATGTCTTGGCCTGGTGGCTCTCTGGGTACCTTGATTTGTGCCTGCAGGATACGTGCAGACTTTGTTGCTTCACTGGCATGCCTGTTGGCATGACTGAGCTGGATTTCCATCTCATTGAGGTCTCCTTCCATTTTCTTCTTCAGTCGGATAGCCTCATTTCTGCTCTTGGCTTCTGCATCAAGGGTGGACTGTAGGGTGTCTATGGTACGCTGCTGGTTTCTCCTAGTTTTGGAGGGATATTGAGAAGACCTTACTAAGAAATGGGCAAGGGTACTTGTTTTCTTCCCTCCGCAGAAATTTTTTTCCAACAGTATATTATCGCTGAACCACCTCTAGTTTCTGTTCCATTGCTAAGTGGATGCAGTCATTCAGTGGTAGTGGGCAATGCCTCAAGTATTTACCTATACCTATACCTATGCCTCAAGTGTTTACCTGTACCTATACTGCTTCCACAGCACTTCCAAAAATGCTCCTCTCAAGCATGCTCCTTCTGCTTATCATAAAATAAAGCCAGACAAACTATAAGTCACTTGACAAGAATGTCTGCTGACTTGTTTAGTATGCTTCTGGCACCAAATCAGTTAAGATTTTACCTACATTCCCTTTCCTGTATTTCATTATCAAAGGTGAATGCTGTGATTCATATGACTAACAACAAAGTTGCATTTTGTCTTGGGCTTCTTGGCATATTTCTCTGACCAACACCTTTACTGAACTTCTCAAGAACTGTTGCATAATCAGACAGTAAAACATTCTTCACGCTGACAGCAGGGCTGGAAAGTACATATTTGATTAACCAATTTCTCCATAGATTATTCCCAGAAGTACATTTTCTAGAGTTTTGCTCAATCCAATTTTGAAAGGACAGCAATTCTTTAGCTTATCAGGGCTCACTCCAATGGGGCAAAAAACCCCCAACACTGAAAAAGCTAGAAAAAAACCCTCTTCCTTCCATCTTATTACTTCCTAATATATCCCTTTCAGTCATGAGATAATCCCTCTTCCCTATTGGTGTGCCACACCTTGGCACCGGCACTGCTTAGCTCAACTGCATATTAACACTGGAAGCTTGTCATTTTTTTCTCACAAGCCAAGGCAGGAGAGTTATACTGAGTTACATTTTTTTCTGGCAGTATGTTGCCTTGTTTGCTCTTCACAGAGACACGAGGAGTGTAGATGAAGGGGGAGTGGTAGTAGTGCTAAATGCAGAAGCAGAATATCTCTTTGGTTTGATAAAGTAGGGCTTCTCCATTGCTGGTAAGAGCAGGGCTCCCTAGTCTGTTTTATTTACTTTTAGCTATGGACACAGGAGGAAAGAGTCATTTTCTTTCTCTGTGGTGTGCTGTTTTTCTCTCTGACAGACACACACCTCTTACAGACATTTGGTTTCTCTTGGGACAGTTGCTGCAGGAGAAACCACAAGTGTAAGAGAAAATCTTCTCCCTAGACCCTTTCCTCCACCCGAGCTGGTGCCGCCCTATGTTCCTGCACATCGCCTTACGCCACATGGGTGCATCTGCCATGGCTCCTGCCTGACCCGGCCACATGCTGGGGACTTGGGGTGGGGGAGAGTGTGCAGGGAGAAGCAGGGAACAAAAGTTAGCTAACCTTTGTCCACTCACCTTTCTGCCCTGAGATCAGGGGTGGGCAATTTTTGGGGCTGGAGGGTCGCTTAGGGATTTTTGGTGAGCTGTTCCAGGTGGAAGAGCAGGTGCTGACTTGGCCTGTGACAACTCCTCGAGACTCCCTAGGTGGCACTGTGACCCCAATAGTCGCCCATCCCTTCTGTAGGTGGAGGTCAAAACAACAGGAATCCTGAGTGAAACTTCATGTTAGCTTGCTTGTGAAGACAAGCTTTCCTCATATAAATGCCTCTGCACTGGTATCAAGTGAGACAAATTCTCTTTGACTAATCTACCTGGTTTTGATATGGCCCCTTACTATATTCTGAATAATGCTACTGCAGTGATGATTACATTCCCATTATAGATTCTGCATGCCTGTCTTTTAGGTAAACAGAAGAAATTATGGGCTGTGTCATAGGGAACCCTGGCCTGACAGGGTTACAAGAGAGTGGTACAGCCCTTTTAAGAGCAGAGTCTTTATAGCATGGGCAGCCAGCAGAGTAGGGGTTGAAGGACAGCCCAGTGGTCAGGTCAGCTGACTGGGGCCTCACTGACGAGAAGATGGCTCAAGCCAGAGCTATATAAACCCTGGGATCGAGCCAGTCAAGGAGATCAGCCCTGAGAGTTGCGGGGTGTGGAGATTGTGACAGTGGCTGTCCCCGGCCTTGAGTCTACTAGGAGGCTGGAAGCAAGTAGCTCAACCCTCCTGAGAATAAGAAAGAGCAACCCAGAGAGCAAGAGACACTTGTTAAAGCAGGCAAGTGGCCTTCATGTTTATCTTATAGCCAGGGTTCAAATTACACTTTGACTCTTGAGGGGTGGGAGGTCTGCAAAAAAAGCTGGACTGCCCATCATGGTGTCCTAATGAAATTGGAGACCTCCCAGGTTATGATTTTCAAATCTTACAGGGGGGCTCTCGTCTCTTATGGGGGGGGCTCATCCCCCTTGAACCCTGCCATAATTTGAACCCTGCAAATAGCCTGGGGGCTTATGGTTTTATGTTCCAGTTTATGCTGGTGGCTTGGTTTTGGAACTAGAGGGGTGGTTCGGAGGTCCCAGTAGTGTCCTAGGGGCATGTGATTATCTTGGGTTCTGCTGGGGAGAGGGCAGGTTCAAGGCACAGCGAGGGCTGGAGCCCAGAAGCCGGGCTTAGAGTAGTGGACCTGGGCTGCAGGACCAGCCGGAATAGAGGGGCAGAAACCAGGAAAGCTGAAGCTCCAACAAAAGAGGGAAGGCTGGGGGTGGCCTGGAAATGAAGGGACAAGTGTCCCTCCTGATTGGTGACTCAAAATCTGTGAGGTATAAAGCACGGTGTAGGGGAGGCATGGAGCCATGCAATTAGCCCTTAAGACAAAGGACCACCACCACCCAGTGTTACTTAGAGCAAGACCAAGTCTGAAAAACTCTGGGGCAGCCTCCATTTTATAACTATAAAGGACACGAAGATGTGGCAGGAGAATGAAGGGGAAACTGTTCCCCCCAGAGTGAGCATGGTAAAAATGGGAATTTAGGGGTGCCCCCAGGGAGCTTTTGACCACCCTAGGGGATGGCACCCTGTTACATGCTGTCAACATACTAAGAAAAAAGATTAATGAAATTAAACCATCACCCAGACTTGACCTTTTCCAGCGAACAACATACTTGGTTTTTGGTTTTGCATGTCTCTGTGCTTCTTTCTTTAGCTACAGATGAGAATATCTGAATCACACAAGAAAGTTTGGAAGATTTTCAGTCTGGTGACAGACACTGGCTAAAGCCCTGAAGGAGCATCGGGACTATTGAATTTACACATTATAAACCATCCTGGTGATGGTATACAACCTTATGTTGTCCAGTTCCTCTTCCTTTTCTGCCAGTTTTCTTTCAAACTCTGCTTTAATTTGGGAAAGTTCAAGTTGAAAACGAACAGTTTTACTTTCTTCATGCTCCAGGGCTCCCTGAAATAGAATATCTAGAATCAGAGAGTTGAAAGGAACCTTAAGGGTCATCCAGTCCAACCCCCTGCACAAACACAGGATGCACTATTCTATAACCATCCCAGATAAATGCTCATCCAGCTTCATCTTGAACACCTGCAGTGAAGGAGAATCTAAATGGAACAAGAGTCTTCTGCCCAAGATCTCTCAGACCTCTTCAGAGTGATAAATCCTGAACAAAAATGGATACCTAAATGCTGTCCTTTCCTTTCCCCATATATATGGGGAATCCCTTGAACTCCTTTATGATCTTCGAGTACTTATGCATCTACTTTAATCACTTACTTGGTAAAGTATCATGAGGGAAATATCTATCATTTAATGCAACTCAGCAGCTGGAAACATAAGCCATGCACTGGAACAACCTGTCTCTGGTCTGACATTGGCTGTGGCTTCAGCAGCACAGGGCTTTCCCCACACCTGCACCTTGGCCAGTCAGTTGGGAGCTGCAGCCATACCACCATGCTTTTTTCCAGCCCCCTACTCCATGACTGGGGCACAGTGCAGCTGCAGCCAGTGGGGAACTGCACCACGTCTGGCAGCTGGAAGCTGTGTCCATGCAGCTGGTGTTTCTTGCCACACCTCACAGCTGTGGTGAGAACACAGTTGGAAGTTGCCCCAGTCTTAGCACACCACCCTCCTGTTTAGCCCTGGTGCTGGCACAGGCAAAGCTCTCTAGTTTCATCAGTCTGATGCAATGACTCTACAGAATGGGTGTTGCCAACCCCTGCCTTAGTGTCATTTTACAAAATGCTCCACACTAACAATTCACAGGAACTGCAATAGCACACACAGGTACTGCAAATGTTAATGCGACAGCTAGACATTCCAATTTACAAGAGGAAAAAACGCCTAAATTAAAAAAAAATCCACTCTACAATTGACTTTTGATATAAGATATATCATCACTTTGGGGTGTAGCTTTTTACCTTTGTGCTTACTATGCTCTGCTTACAGCTTTATTGAATTTTAAGGAAGCATTCCATATAATTTATGAAAGTGTTGTTTGCTCATTATACGCCCAAGAAATGATATATACTATTTAAAGAGATAAATATATATTTGGCACATATAATCACTCTCAGCAACTCAGAGCTGTGGAAAAAGGCATGCTTTTCCTTTGCTCTGATCTCAACACCTGTTTATTTGGCCGTGAAATCCCTGCTAAGTATAGAACATCCTGCAATACACAAAAAAGTCACACATTTAAATGTATGAAGATAACAATAATTTCATTAACTATTATTTAGAGAAGGGGATATAAGATAATAACACAAAAAGTATCAAATCGTATTGCCTGTGAGGGCTTGAGTTATCCCTCCAAAGCAGTTATGATGCACAAAAGCTCTGCAATGCACTAAATGCTCAAGAAAGCTGCAAACTAGCCTTTTAAATAAACAACCAGAAACAGGTCAACAACTTCAGTTTTATAAAAGGACTACCAATTTTGGATGCCCTAATCTGAGGTGAGATGGAAGGGCCTGATTTCTGAAAAATTAGACCCCTTGCAAGACATTTCAGTTTGGACACCTAAAATGATTAGAAATTTTAGATTAACAAGGGGTATAGGGAGAAAAATGGGAGATGCTTTCCAACACATGATCTTTCTCATATTTGCTCTCTTAACATAGAAGTTTGAAAGAGGAAGTAGAAAACCCCTTTCTTTTCCTTCAGCTCTTTCCCCTTACCTCAGCTTCTTCCAGGGCTAGCTGAACCTCTGACTTTTCTTGTTCAACCTGTTTCTTGATCTTCTCAATCTCATGAAGACTCTTGTTTCCTTCACTAATCTGATTAGTCAGATCAGAAATTTCCTCTGAAATGGCAAGACAGAACAACTTAGGGACAAGAAAGAGTCCAGGAAACATATTAACATTGTACCACCTGGCCCAGAGAGTAGCTACAAAAATCTCCTTCTTAACTCTACAATTGACTTGTACAGGTTGTGCTAGTTTCATTTAAATCAGTTTAGTTACACTGGTGCAATGTGTGTGTGTGTGTGTGTGTGTGTGTGTGTGTGTGTGT